TTATTCCATCAGCCTTCACCCTGCTCATGCTTTATTACTTAATAATGCTGCTTTGCATGGAGTGTCAGCAGGCCGCCTAAGAAATGATTACAGCATCATGCTAAAGAGGTGGTACAATCAGTTGCAGCTGCTTCTACAAATATTGCTCCATGATCTATGCACTTAATTTTTATTTCAATCTTTTTTCATTATTTTTGTAAACAAATTTTGGTAGCCAATAAAGGAATACAATAAATAAATGAAACAATAAACAACTTGCTCTTGGGGTAAATTGAATGCTACTAAAGGCATGTTATCATTGATAATTTAACTAAAATGTTTATAGTTTACCATTATTCTTTATTAAAAAGCACAGGGGTTATTAAACTGTACCAATTTAGTCTTCTTGCCCCTTGAAGGATTCCTTGAGATAAACAAGCAGGTATGTCTGAAAAAAAATTTTAAATAACAGGAACAGAATTGCTAAGAAAGATTGAATTTCAAAGTGAATCTACTGGGATGCTGGAATGTTCTCTATTTAAGTTTGTTTGTTTTCACTCACATTTATATGCAAGAGTGTGGAATAATAATTAAGGTATTTCTTTTTTTTTAATTAAAAAAAATTTTTTTTTTTCAACGTTTTATTTATTTTTGGGACAGAGAGAGACAGAGCATGAACGGGCGAGGGGCAGAAAGAGAGGGAGACACAGAATCGGAAACAGGCTCCAGGCTCTGAGCCATCAGCCCAGAGCCCGACGTGGGGCTCCAACTCACGGACCGCGAGATCGCGACCTGGCTGAAGTCGGACGCTTAACCGACTGCACCACCCAGGCGCCCCATAATTAAGGTATTTCTAAGGAAATGAACACAATTATTGAATTACAATGTTATTTATGGAGAAGGCACTAGCAAGACACGTTTATGTCTATGGTTTACTTTTGTCCTGATTAGAAGATAACCTCATGAAATTTATGCTATTATAAATGGATTATTCACCTCACTTTGTTTACTGAAACACTGAGTTTTTTGTGGATCTGGACCTGAAGGGAACGGTAGGGCCCTCTCTTCATTTTCCTCCAAGTTTAGAGGCTTATTCCAGTTTTACAGATATTTTATTTTCCTGCAAGAATTGAGTCTCTTGGGCCTGGGCTTCCATTTTTGTCATTGAAAAAGCAATATGTATACATTATGAGGTAATTTTTGTAATACATTTATTATTTATAATCTTTAAAATATTGTTGTCTTTTCATGAGGGTTTATAGTGATTTTCTCTTGCAACTTGATCCAGGCTCTGGGATCATGCAAAATATCTCAAATTCTCTGTATTTTGGGATTACAAAAGTGGCTGGTAAGACATTTGTAGTAAGTAGGATGCATGTGACATTAAAACTACAGGATTATAAGTGTCCTACTATGACCACTTTGATTTTTTTAGAACTTATTAATGGTCACAGAGATGGCCACTTTTAGGTGTCAACGGAACCAATGATGATTTGAAATTTAAAAGAAATTTGATTATTGCAATGATACGCTATCCTTTCTACAGTTAAATTGCCTTTCTCTCCTTCCTCCCTATCCTGTACTCACTTAAAAAATTATTTTAATGTTTATTACTTTTGAGAGAGAGAGAGACAGAGACAGAGACCAAGCAGGAAAGGGGCAGAGAGAGAGGGAGGCACAGAATCGGAAGCAGACTCCAGGCTCTGAGCTGTCAGCACAGAGCCCAATGCGGGGCTTGAACTCACAGACCATGAGATCATGACCTGAGCCGTAGTAGGCCGCCCAACCGACTGAGCCACCCAGGCGCCCCCATCCTCACTTTTGATTGTAAAAACAATATTATGACATCTAAGAGTATGAAGAGAAAAGAAACAAAATTCCTGGTACAACTGCCATTTTTATTTGTTGCCTTCTATTCTTTGCCCATACACATTTATATTTTTAAACATAGTAGCAGTCATATACATGCACGATATTGTATTCTGCTTTTTTATTGTCAATTCTCTTTTGAAGAGAGATCTGGAATTTTATGAGGAGATTGCAAAACAGGACTAAAGAAGCTATGTCACTCTAGCTGAAAAAAAAAAAAAAAAGAAGAGGGGAACGTGTTGATTGTATAAGTTTCAAGCTTTTTAAAAGTGGTGTAACATTTACCTTAGATTTTCTTAACCAGAGATTTGAACCCAACCATCTTGGGTTGGAAAAGGGTATGGAATGTAATCAAACTAAAATTTGTGAATGAAAGTAGAGCAGCATTTGCTTTCTGCCAGATTGCTAATTAAATGCCATGGAAGACTTTGCGTATTTAATTTTAGTCATGTAAAGAATGTGCAATAGTTGGTAGGCAAGAGTTTTGGCCGGGAAAGAAATGACTATATTTTTAGATCATTTTGCTACCTCTGTAAATTTATTATCCTTTAAAGTAGCTGAAGTGTAGAAATGGAAAAGTTCCTTCATTTGATCCAGAATTAGGGTTTTGTTGGGTTAAAGGGCAAGGTCCTTGAGGGAATAGGCAAAAGAACTGTTGAAAATGATGTGCCATGAATTCTAGACAGAAGAGGTAAGGAGACAGATGAAGATATGGAGAGCTGAAGGGGCTGGAGATCTCTGTAATAAGAACAGACATAATGGTAAAAATAGAGCAAGAGAGCTGGAAGAACGGAGGGTTGTGTTCAGCAGGTTTATTAAAACTAAAATAAAACTGAAATAAAATTTGAAATGCAAGTGAGTTGGCCTATTTAAAAAGCTCTTTTTTGTTTTGTTTTGGTTTTTATGTTGTAAAACATTAAGCCCAGAACAGAGAACAATGCATGGGAATTGAAATCCATTCATTATCGGATTCACACATTAATTCGACAAATACCTTGCTAAGCCCCTCCTATGTGTCAGGCACTATCTGAGGGGCTGGGAATACAGTAGTGAATGAGGCAGAAACATTTCTGATGGCTTGGAGTTTCGATTCCAATGGAGGAGTCAGACAAATAAATAAAATATCTAATTGTAAGCTATAAATGATAGCAAGGGCATAGAGGCATGAGGGGTGGGGAGCTAGTTTAAACATGATAGTCAGAGAAGTGAAGAGGGGAGATGGGAGGGGAAACAGCAAGTGTGAAGGTAGGCCTGTCCCTAACATTTGTGAAACCCAGGGAAAAATATGAATGGGGTTCATGAACTTTATGTTTGTTTATTTATTTATTTATTTATTTATTTATTTATTTATTTATTATTTTCAGTTTTTAATCACTTTATTTTAGAGAGAGTGAGCATGCAAGTAGGGGAGAGGGACAGAGGGAGAGAGAGAGAATCTTAAGCAGGCTCTATGCTCAGTGTGGAGCCCGATGTGGGGCTTGATCCCACGACCCTGGGATCGTGACCTGAGATGAAATCAAGAGTCAGACCCTCAACCAAATGAGCCACCTAGGGGCTCCGGACTTTATGTTTAAATGTTAAAAATTGTAAAACCTACTCTGCCATTCAAACTTGAGTATTGGCCTCGCAGGTCAGGTTTAGATTTAGTACTTTTGGATTTCTCAGGGTTTTGCAGCCGAACTTGGTGGTACAGGGTAAGCCAGCTTCTGGCTTCTGGTTCCAGCCAGAGGTCAATTCCTCTTTCTCTTCCCACTCCATGATCTTCCCATTACCATGAGGGATCTTGCACAATGCGAGTGGTCACCCCTGCCTGCATGTCTGAGTTCTGTCCACACTGTCCCCGAACAGCTACCCTCTGATGGCTCTGTGAATTAAGGATGTGCACACTTTTGATACAGTCAGCTCTTGGGAAGATGAACCAGAGAAGGGGCCCATGCTGGCCCTGGAAACCAGCTCTTGGCCCTTTGGGCAGTGTATTCTGGGGTTGTGTACCCAGAACATGGACTAGATGGGGCAGGGGCTCTGGATGGGCACAACGTTTTGACATCACTGGCTGTGCTCTGAGGGGAAGGGTGTGTCTGGGGGAAGGTCAGAGCAAGACCCTGGAAATCAGGGGGCCCATGGCAGTGGTCTCTTTTGCCAGCACCTAAGGATGGTACCTCGGCTTGTCACGCTTACAGAAGAACAAGGAGACTATTCCCTATAGCCTCAGGATTTTGTGCTGTGATGATGGAGAAGATATAAAATTTCTCTTCTGTGGCCAATTATAAAAAGTAAAGGAAGGAAGAAAAGGAATCCTTGGAGGGAACAGTAATGAAGTTCCTGGCAGTTACACTGGTGCAAACTGTAGAGCTAGCACAACCCTCCCATCTTACAGATAAGGAAAGTGAGTTGCACACCAGTTGTGACTTCGTAGGTTTTCACAGCTAAAGAATGTCAGATCAGTACCAAAACCAGGTTTTCTGAAATCCATTCTAGAATTCTCTTGACCACACCATGTAGTTTCCATGCCACTGAAGGTGATCAAAGATGAAGGAAGAAAGAAGAAAATGTGATGTGGAGGCAGGAGGAAGGAAACATTTCATACACACAAGACAAAAATGTGGTATTTTAAGGAAGAGGTTTGCCCTTCATATGAATGATTCTTGGATTTTGGTGTATATTTTTGGTAGCAGTATGCGGTGAGTCACTAACAAAGAGCTTAAGACAGATGAGTTAACATAAATGGACCAAAATAAGCTGTGGTCTCTAGGCTGAGCAGCTGTTGGACAAACCTGCCAATATTTTATTTCCCAGAGACACTTGCAGCAGATGAAAGTGAGCAGGCGGTGAGTGCCACATTAGAAAATTCCACACCATTCAGTTTCCTGTGCCTGACATGTGACTATCCAGGGGAAGGGGAACCCCCCCCTCCCCCGGCTCTTTAGTGAAGCTCCACTTTGTGGAAGAGGATAGGCAGGGTTGCACGTCACGCAGGGTGTGGTAGTGAAGGGACAATACAGAGGCATGGGAATCCGGACACCCTGGGTTTTCGGCCCTGATTGTGCCACTAGCTGTGTAACCAAGGGGGACTCCTTCAGCTTCTCTGTGGCTCTGTTTTCAAATTCTGAAAGAGGGGCCTGGATTGAATGACATCCTAAGTACATTCCAGCTTAAAAATATATAGTCCACATTCATTGAGCACTTATCTTTTGGTAGTTACCTCCAGGTGTGCTTTACATATGGATTTTCCCCTCCATTAAATCTTCAAGGTTGTTTCAACAGTGGACTCATTTTGCAGATTAAGAAACTGAGGCTGAAAGGATAAGAGACACGCCTTAAGTCATACAGCGAGCAATTGCAGAGTCTGGACTCAAACCTGAGACTGTCTCAGAAACCTGGCTTCTTAACCACCATTCTGCGCTGTCTCTTCTCCCTAAGCAGGAAATTAGGAACACGTTGCCCTCATATCCTTTCCCTCTCCACAGCTATATATCTGTTTCAAATTGTTATGCTTCAATTGCACTGTACTGGATTTTCAGGCCCTAATTGGAGCCCTTCATGGCATCTACCCACTGCCTTGTGAGTGAATGGCATTAAAGATAGTAAATCAAATTCAGAACACACACCTCACACGGAACAGAAATAGTGTTGAGCAGGGCACAGCAGGGCCATTTGATTCACAGGATCATCAGCATCTTGAATATTTTGTATGTTCTCTCCGGTGAACACTGTGTACTTCATGTTCCTGCTGATGTCACTGGCAGAGATGTCTCTGGGGAGACACCCTGTTTGAAAAGCCAATTCAGTAACCTCTTCTATCCTGATTTAATATAATATGGCCATGGTAATGGTGGTAATAGTGGCGGTTTCTTTGTTCCTTCTCATAAATTACACACACTTTAAACACCTTCTTGTACTGCCTGTCTTCCGATGAAGATGGCAGACAGCAGAGGAACATCCCTCTCTCCAATACAAAATAGAGAAACTCTAAGATTGTGGGTGATTTGATCTAACTTTGGCTCCAGATTGATCTTTAGTTGGGGACTGACAATCCTGTTTTCAAAATCTGTAGGGATATTTTATGACTGAAATCACACTTTCCATAGTTCTTTCTTTGATGGTTACATATATAGAAATAGAGAACTGAGGCAATATCTAATAATTCAAATCAGTAAAGCACTGCTGCTTGTATTTATTTGGATGTTTTAAGCCATAGAAGCTTTGAGCTGAAAAGGGAAAGAAACATACGCTCAACCTTCTAAGTCAGAAAACAAGTAGTAAAATATGGTGGAATAACTTAATGACCTTGATTCTCTACCTCTTCCTTTGGCCACATCTTTTACCACATGACCTTGGGATTTCGTTCACTAAAGAGGCAGAGTTTATTTTCCCTCCCTTGAATTTGAGTTGGCCTTGTAACTTTCAGCCAGCAGAATGTGGTGGAAGTGATGGTGGGTCAGTTCCAAGTCTAGGCTTCAAGGAACCTTGTGTGTTTTCATTTTCTTGCTCTTCTTCTGTGTTTGCCATGAGAACATGCCGTGGTTATCCTGCTGGAAAATGTGACATGAGGAACAGAGCTGAATTTCCCCAGTCATTGCTGCTGACTTACCTATCTGAGCTGCAGCTGACTGAAAGATCAGTTAGTGAGTCCGAGGGAGATTAGAAACACTGTTGAGTCTAAACTGCCAACCCACAGTTTTATGAACTAAATAAATGCTTATTGTTTAAGGACATTGAGTCTTGGGGTGTTTTGTTACACAGCATTATCTGGCAACTGACAGCTGACACAGAAAGTGAGACTTTAGTTGTCAGGAAAACACAAGAATCAAACTGAGATATAACACAAATCTGAAGTCTTTCCAAATCAGCATGGTTATGGATTATCCCTCAATAGTTATTCTGTACACATATACTGGGTCTATTATTGGTGAGGTCCTATGCTAATTGGAATGCCCAGTGAATGGGAGCCTAACAGAAGCAAAAGAAAATAATTAACATGATCCAGAGAAGCTGGCCACGGGAATGAAGTCAATCAAATGGCTGATGATATTTAGGGTGGTAGAAAAGGGTGAATTCAAGGAGTTGGCTGTGGGGCCAAGAGTCAAAGAGAAAAACATTGACAGTAGGATGAAGTTAAAAGCTAAGATCAAGAGGAAGGTATTGAATGTGTTATGAAGGAAATACCTATATTAGAGGTGTCTATGTGTGATTGAGTATTTAAATAGAAAATAGGTCAAATTAACACAAGAAAGCATAGCAATGCCATCAGTATACCCCTACCCTGAAACTATCCAGTTTAATGGGCTCTAGACAATTTCCAGCTGCCACTATCTACTTTCCTGTACCTGAAGGCTTTTTCCAGAGTTGTGGAAGGTCAATTTAAAGGCAAGATGTATTGGGAAACTAACATCTATGCTCCCCCTTCCCCAATATGTCAGCAATCCTCAGCCAATGACCATGGCGGTCAATACATAAATACCCCAGCGCTCTTGGCTCTCTTGGCTTGTGGGATAGTTTTGAAGCATGTATTTTATGCTTTTTAAATGATTTGCCCACAGAACTAAGCTCCAGTCACTTATTGTGGCACTTATTGTGCCCTTTATTTGCTGCTTTCCCATCCCTTCCCTATCTCACTTCCCCCACTCACTCCAAGGCCACTAGCCTCCCTCCTGCTTCTCTTCCCGCCCCAAAGCCCTTGCAGCCGCTGCATTCCCTGCCTGAATTTCTCCTCTCCTGACATGTTTGCGACTGATTTCTTCTTGTTGTGCAGGCCTCAGGGTAAATCTCACCTTGTTAAGGAAGACTTGCCTGGCCATCAGACCCAATTGAGCTTCATCATCTGATGTTAATTCTCAATGTCACTTCTTCTATCGGATGTTTTTCTTATTTCTTTCTTTGTTTTCAAATGTTTTTGGCAAGGGTATAAGCGGGCAAAGGCCTTTTAGGAAGGTCATTCAGCAGTGTGTACTAAAGCCACCTATGACTCAGCAGTTCCATTCGTAGACATACATCTCAGGAGAATGCATGCTTATGTCCAACAAAAGCCGTACGCAAGGATGTTTATCACAGCTTTATTCATGAGAGCCCCAGACTGAAACCAAACTGAATATCCCTCAATAGGAGAATGGATACATTACTTGTGGAATAGTGTGGAATAGTCAACGGAATACTCTGCAGTGGAACACTACATAGCAATAAGAAGAATGAGGTGCTGCTATGCATGCCTCACAGATTAATTTCTTAGAAATTTACAGTAAACAAAAGAAAACATATTATTTGATTCCATTTCTATGACATTCATGAACAAGGAAAAGTAATCTGTGGTGGTAGGAGCTGGAATAGTGGTTATCTCTGGGTGGGAGGATATTGACTGGGAGGGAGTCCAGGGTGCTGGAAATATTCTATATCTTGATGTAGGTGATAGCTACATGGATACATACATACGTGAAAGGCCAGTGAGGTACATACTTAAGATGTGTATACATTCTATATATGTCATACATGAATAAAGTGAAAAATAAAAAAGTAGTTTACATGAGAGCAAGGACATTTTTTTGACTTACACACTACTGCCTGACACAGTGTGCCATCAATAAGTACTTCTGGACTGAGCAAATGAATAAATGTGGATTTGCATTTTTAAAAAAACTTTAAACCAAAAATTAAGTAAGCTCTTACTGAATATCTATTCCACATGCTGTATATAGTAGGGGCATCAAAGATGAGTCAGCCAAATGAGAAATATACAACTGATTGTATAAAATGGCAGCATATCATAAATGCTATAGAAACAGATGCCAAACAAAGCGTTAGCAGTGCTAGAAAGAGAGAAGCATTTCAATTGCAGCTTTGGGTAAATAAGATTTGATCTGGCCCTGGAAATATTTGGGCAGGTAGGGCTGAGTGGGAGAGGAAACAAAGAAGGGGGTGGGTGTGAATGGCAGGGAACAAAGACTCAGAGACAGGAAGCCCAGGGAAATGTTGAAACCTGAGGTGGCTGCAGTCAGGGCTGGGGAGTCATGGGGGAGGGAAAGATGAACATCTGTCAAAGCAGCTTGGGGCCCGCTCACAAAGGGCCTGGACTACTTCGCAAGGAGTTTGGCCTCCATACATTCATAGGGATAAAGTTTCAAAGGTTCTAAATCAAAAGAGTGATTTTGAAGGGAACTTGTTATCCTTCCTAAATTAATATTAAAAAATATGTTCACTTACAGAAGAATCTGAAAAGCCAGTTCAATGCAAAGGACACACTGATAGAATCACTGCTTTCACTCTCGCATACCGACTCTGGGACACCTAAACCAAGTGACATGGAATTCACATACCATAAGATTTACTATTTTGAAGTATACAGTTCAGTGGGTTTTTAGTATGTTCACAAGCTTGTGTAACTATCATCACTAATTCCAGAACATTTTCATCACCCTGAAAAGAAACTCCCAAACTCATTGTACTCATGCTCTCTATTTCCCCCTTTCCCCAACCCTGGCAACCACTAATCTACTTTCTGTCTCTGTAGATTTTCCCAGAGGTATTTTTCTTTTTATAGTGTTTACTCTGAGCTGTCAGCACAGAGCCTGACAGGGGGTTCAAACTCACAGACCATGAGATCATGACCTGAGCCGAAGTCTGACACTTAACTGACTGAGCCACCCAGGTGCCCCGCAGAGGTATTCTTCTATGTGTACATGGACAAATTTGCTTCTCCCCCCATTCACACAAATGAGTTTGTACATACTGTAAAGTAAGACTCTTGAACATACATCTTGACTCTTACTCTTGAACATATCAGATTAGTTTGTAAAAAATTCTGGGTGGCAGGGTAAGGATGGATAGGGAAAAAAGTTCGGGGGGCACTGAGACCATTTAGCAATGCCTACAGTACAAAGGAGCAAGAAGTCCTACAGGCAAGAAGCAGGATGCCAGCAATCTAGTTGATGCTGGGGTGTGCTACCAAGATCCACACTTCAGGACTGGCATGTGCTTCCAGGATCCCCACTCATTAGCCCAGCTAGAGGAAATGCTGGTGGCCAATGGACCTCAGCTGAGTCTCCTTCTGGGCCTTGCCTTCACCTAAAGAGAGCTTGCTAGCCCAAGATCACACTCTTTCTCTAGGGAAGCTTACATCCAAAGATTGGTCGATGCTGGGGTGGGGGTAATACACGGCTAGACACCTTCCCCAACTTGAAAAATCTCTGAAGGGCCATCCCAGCTCCAGAGCTCCCTAAAAGCTGAAGCTTTTATTGTGACTGTATTGCAGCCCATTTCTTCCCTCTGCCCAAACCTGCTTGCTTCAATTCTCCACAGGCATTG